GACGCTGTGGCTTGAGGTAGAGCGCTTGCCTTGAGCTGAAGAGCGCAGGGACAGTGCCCAAGTCCAGAGTTCAAGCTCCACGACCGACAAAAAATAAATCTTAATTGTGGTCTAGAAAAGTTGTAATGTTTTAAGAATAAGATGGTAAAGGTATTTCTTAATGGAGGTATTGGGGTTAGAGAGGAACAGACTGGAGCAGTTTTCTGTGATGGAAACTCCGTATGAGCATAGGCCACATATTCAGCCAGCGTTCTCCTCTAGTTTGATGTCTGGCTTATACATAGTACTAAATAAACATTTGTTTACCCAAATGTAATATTATTTAGGTGGATGAGCCAGCTTCCCATATCATAAGGTCTTACAAGGTGATATTGCTTTAATGGAGTTACCATAGTCCAAAAACAGTCCTTAGCCTTGCATCTCCAGAAGCTGTGTCATGAACATGCCTTCCTGTGACTGTTCCAGGAGAAGCCATGTCAGCCAGTCAGTGTATTCTCTTCCTGTCAGAAATGCCTCCCAGGAAGCAAAAGTTAGCATCTTCAGCCAGGCTGATCCCAGCCTGGGGAGAATAGAGTTGGCCGATTTCAGAAGCCAGTGAAATCTGGCTCCAGTAGTCTCATAGCATCAGGCAACTTGACTCTAGTCTGCCACACCTCGCAAACAAATGGAGTGCTGTCAGCTGCTGGATGTCTGCTCCCCTGGACCTGCAAACATACAACAAATAGTTAACATGAAGGCACTTTGTGAAGATCTGGGTTTAAAGAGGATAGAGGAGGAGGGAAGAAGTCCTTGCTGGACAATACCCACACTTTCTCTTCATTACCCTTCCTTAAGTTCTTAATGTGTCTCTATTTCTTTAGAGTTTACTCTACTTACATATCTTGGCATCCATGCTTATAAAAATACTACATTCTCTGTTGACTATTTTGTTTAATGTTAGGTGTCTCTAAAACTCCCTCATAATACCTTTTTTTTGTTTTTGTTTTTTTGGTCGTGGTGGCTTGAACTCTGGGCCTGAGCACTGTCCCTCAGCTCTTCAGCTCAAAGCTAGCACTCTACCACTTGAGCCACAGCACCACTTCTGGTTTTCTGGTGGCTTATTGGAGATAAGAGTCTCACAGACCTTGATGCCCAGGCTGGCTTTGAACCATGATCCTCAGATCTCAGCCTCCTAGTTGCTAGGATGACAGGTGTGAGCCACCAGCGCCCAGCTGCCTAGGATTTTTAAAAATCAAACCCATCATTACATATTGGTTTGACATAATTTCATTTTGTTAGCCATACTTTTATTATTGAAGAATGAACTTTCTCTAACTTTTTAAGGGCTCACTGTATGCTAGACACAGGACAAAAGGTGAAGACCCTGGCAGGATTGGGGAATTTTAGTTGTCCTAAAAAATGTAAAATAATCTTTATATTGGCATAAGTACAAGGCTCAGAGGAAAAAGGTCAGAGCTTAATTTTCAAAAAGTTAAAAGCATACATAAAATGAACTCATGCCAAACATTCGTTTAAATGAGTAATGGAGGAGTCTGCAGGATAGTAAAGTTGGTGCTGAGGAGATTGTAGATATGAAGGTGAGACAGGCCATCAGAAAAGCATACTGAGTACATTTGCTACATGAGAGATGAAACTAGTTTTGTCTAGAGACTCTAGTTTCATTTAGAAAGTAGGTGGTTGTTTTTTTTCTATTATGGGTTAATAAAACAGTGAGTGGTCTTGGTGGCCATGTTTCCTACTAAATAAATCATTTCCATATGTTAACGTGAAATTGTATAGCCTATTGCTTAGCCAACAATAAGTAGACGCTAAAGAAAGGAATAGCCCTTTAGGTAGCTAAACAATGCTTTAGGCAGTGCTCCAGGATGCTGCTGAAGGAACACACAGGCCTCTCCTTTCTCTTCCCTAAGAGGGCCTGAGAAGGAAGAACTGAGGACTTTGGGCCTACTGGACGTGTTCTTAAAGGATATGTAGAAGATACAGCTGCAGAGGCCATGTTTTTATTTACACTGTACAAGAGCTCAGTTAAAAGACAGGAAGACAAGGCAGCAATCTTAGAGGTTTGAGGTCCTTGTAAGAAAGTAAGAGTGACTTGCTGTCAGGCCCTGGTTTGCCTCAATAGAAAGAGAATTTGCTGTCTGGAGGATTCCTGGCCGCGGGGCTCACCAGTGAGGATAAGAGAGTCTCACTTCAGAGGAGGGGCAATGCCCCTCCCTCCCCCACAAAGCTCACCTGTCATCCTGTGAAAACCAAGGTAATGGTCACTGTTTCTTTTATCTTGGTACCCTTTATCTTATATATAAGTTTATCTGATGTAGGGAATCAAAAATGGTGAGACAGGACAGAGGGTGAACCAATGCAGCAGCCATACTCACTCCCAAGACACTATGATGGAAATGAGCTTTACGACTTGGAGGGGAGGGAAAGTGGGAGAAAATGAGGGAGGTGTAACAGTGTTTGACAAGAGTTGTACTCATTTCCTTATTTATGTAACCGTAACCTACTCTGTGCATCACCTTGACAATACAAATACGTATTTTTAAAAAGTGAGTTAAAGCAATAGCCTGGGAATGGGCTCTGAGGTTAAGTATCTGATCACCATGGTCATTGCAGTGAAATCTCCCAATAATGTTTTCTGCCAAAAACAGAATCAGGAGTATACTCCAATGTTGCCTCCCCCACTCCCCAATCCTATGCAGAGATTTCATTTTATTCATTGCTGAAATTCATTTTATTGGGATTTCTGGTGGGTTTGTGTTTTAATGCAACTACATCTCAGTGTCTCAGATGTAACACTGGAATGTATTCATATTGTCATTCTGTCAGAGGTGTAAATGGATTTTCTGAAAGTTTTTTTTTTTTCAGGAGACAATGAACGCCATTACTTTGTGACTTGAGACACTTACAAATCCAAGAAAAAAATAACATTTATTATCTGACTTTTCAGCTTCAGTGATTTTTGCTGTCAGAATTTTAAGTTCTCAGTTCACCCTTTTTTAGTTTGGATATTTGCAAAAACGACTTAAAAAACATCCACATCACATGATGATTTATTTCTCAGTTTGTTTCATGTCATAAAAGGCATAGTGAGCCAAGCGCTATGGCTCACATCTGTAATCTTAGCGACTCAAGATTGTGATCTGAGGATCATTGTTCACAGCCAACCCAGGTAGGAAACTGTGAGATTCTCATCTTCAATTAACCATCAGAACACCGGAAGTAGAGCTGTGACTCAACTGATAGAGCACTAATCTTAAGCAAAAAAGCTCAGGGACAGTACCCAGGCCCTAAGTTCAAGCCCCAAGACTAGCACAAGGAAAACAAAAGAAGTGGTTGAAAACAAATGTTCTGATTTGAAGTGAAATGGCTCCCATTCAACAGCCAGATCTTCATTTCTACCCAACCTTGTAAAGCTTCAATTCTTCCTAAAGTCAGAACATATTCCAAATCACAGAGAGACCTTGTACATTCTAAGCAAGAACTCGACCGCTGAGCTACACCCTCCATCCGAGGCAGTGGCCATTCGAAACTAAAAACGATATTGGCATTTGGTACATTCTGGCTCTTTGAAATGTGCTACTAACAACCTGTTCCATAGACAGAAATGGAATTGATACTCCACATACATGTTTTAATAAGTAGAGGTAAAGTATGACCCTTAATTTCAAATGGTGTATTCTCTTTTTGCCAAATGCAGAAGTTTGCATAAAGCAAGTGTGTAAAAAAATAACTACATGTGTTTACCTAAGTCCCAAATACTTTTAGTCCCATTCGTCATGCCTTCAGTGTTCACACAAAGTCCTCGGGCTTAATCTCAGGCCTGGGTGCTATCCCTGAGCTTTTTATTTGGGGTTTTTGTTTTCTCAAGGCTAGCACTCTAATAGTTGAGCCACAGTTCCACTTCCAGTTTTGTTTTGGTGGTTAATTGGACATAAGAGTCTCACAAACTTTTCAACCTGGCCTGGCTTTGGACCGTGACTCTCAGATCTCAGCCTCTGTGGTTTTAGGCATGAATCACTGACAATTAGCTTAAAGGACTGCTTTTGAGAAGTAATACAGTGGTTCCCTGTTTCTGTCTGTCTATCTGTCTGTCTCTCCCTCTCCCTCCCCCCTCTACGCACACACACACACACAGATTCTGAGAAATTTAAAGTTCCAAGTAGAATGTGTTAACAAAACTATGAATTGCTTTTTCTTGTTTAATCATAACAGAGTGTGAGAGAGAATTAAGAGAGACAAATAATCCTCTGGCGCTCTAAACTGAAACCCGTCACGTTAACTCCCAGCTCCAACACATGGTTTTAAAGATTTACCTTCATGAAACCTAAAAGCTTGTATTCTGCCTCATTGGCACCAGCCTCAAACGGTTCCCTGTCATTGAAGAAAACAAATCTTTTGCTCCTTTCTGCCTGGGGGAGACAGAGGGACTGTGGTGGTCCTGTGTGGCAGAATTAGATGAAAGACTTTTCTTCCACCATGGAGACTCGGAGTCTAATCAAGTGAAATGAGTTTTGAGATCCCAGCTCATTTCCTAGGGGAGGTCAGGTCGCATTGCAAAATCACGACATCTCATTCATCACAACTGACATGGTCTTTGCTCAGGAGAGGGCCCCAACGGAGACCAAACCACCTGTCTTCCCTCAAAAAGGGGCACTTTATCCAAGTTAGAGTTGAAGGCCTTGGAGTGAGGACCCTTACCAGCCACCGGCTTCTCTCTGTATACTACCTGTGCAGTGTGGGAGGGGACTTAAGTTCAAAAGAGGAAAGACAAGTTAAGGAAGATGGGTGGCTGTGTGTTTAATGATCCACATACAAATAGTCTTGGTGGAGATGCTAGCGGTGGATGGCAGGGAAACCAGGACCCGGCTCCTTCTTCTTTATCACCTAGATTTCCTTAAGCAGAAGTGAGAATAACAGCCTGCATCTGAGTTTTAAATGTGAAAGAGCATCTCCTGCTTCCCAGGCCAATAAATGATCATTATCTCTTTTATTTCTTTCAGGGCATCGTTGTAACACCCTTGCTACTGCTGCTTTTTGTGAGTATTTTGATATTGCCTTTAATATCTCTTATTAAAAGCCATCTACACCCTTTAAGGAAGGCCATTAGAATAAAAATTGAGATTTGAATCCTCCTTGGCACCCTGAATCACATTTAAGCAGGTGTTGCAGCAAAGTGGTCCCAGGAACCAGCACACAGACACATGCGTGACAGTGAAGGACAACATCAGCTCCCAATTATCAGGCCTCCAACCCTGACTAAATGATAAGCTATTATGAATTAATGACCTGGGACACAGGGCGCACACATGCTGGTCTTTATGTTCTCATTAGTGCTGGTTGACCCAGTGTTTGGTAGTGCTGCACAGAAAGAACATGGGCCCGGGGACCAGGACAAGCTAGGCTTCGAGGCTAGGTTTGTCTGTAGCTGGCTCCTCTGGAGTTTCTGGTTCCTCTATGGTTCATCTGTAAAATGGGAAGCAATAATTCCCCCACCCCCAATAGGCATTCCCCCCCCCCCCCCCATGATAATGAAATGTGCTTTTGAATTAAAAAAAAAAATAGTAAGTAGATACAAGCCACTGGTTAACTCACCCAAAATTGTTCTGAACACAAGAAATGCTAATTAACTGTCTTATTTCCTTTGGCACTAGGCATATGAGAAATCAGATGAAAGATTATAATAGAAATTAATGTTATCTCACGCTGAGCAAAGCATATGTAATCATGAGTGCTACCTAAAATATTTTATGAACTGTGAAGTTTTTTCATACACACATCCTCCAAATATAAATCATTCCGCTTACCACTGAAATGTAGTGGGATGTGTTTCTGGGGATGAAGTGGAGCTGTTTGACTAGGACTATTTGTCAGGGAATTAAAACTATGGGGAGAATTTATTTAATTATAGTGTAATTACCCAAGTTGGAATTCAATTAGAGTAATAGAGTGAGGGACTTCATTTCTAACCAGCTGTGTGGGAAATAGAGAGAGATAGACATCCTCCTAAACAGTTGGATTCTGCATCTTTTATGAAAGACATTATCTTCAAGTAATAAGCCCCAGCCTCACCCTCCTTTCTGAAATGCTCACTCCACTCTGGCAAGGTCACAAGAGTCAGATCATCAGATCACTTCCAGCAGCAGAACAAACTTCATTATTTATTTAGACCCCCCCCCCCAACCCCCAACTCAGAATTTGCAGTGGGTCACATTAAAACTAAAGATGGTGTTTGCGTTAATTTGGATGAAAAGGCTTGCTTGCTGCCCACCTATGCACATGGCCACTAACAGATGATGCCAGGAACTTGAACTCAAGATCCCTAAGGCAGTTTCCCAGGAGAATCCCTCATGGACAGAGGATATAGGCCAGCCTGGGAGACTGGTATAGAGTCTGGCCTCTAGTGACTCACAAAGTAAATGACATCCGCTTTCTCCATTGCAGAAGAGAGATGTCTCATGTGACTCATTTTGGAAGAGTAGGGATAAGCTGCAATAAGGTGACTGAGACCTGAGATAGCACTTAAAAGGATCTGTCTGTCTGTCTGTCTGTCTTCAAGTAGTTGAACAAAGGGAGTCTGATTCAACATGTCAATTTATGAATACCATGCCTGTTGATCAATATTATCTCTTTCATCATCCCTCATCTCTCCCGACCTCACCCATCCCCTCAATTTACCTAGCTCCACGTTCACATATGCACACCGAATATGTGACTTGACTTTAAGTGACTCTAACACTGGGATCTGTGGTACCATCCTTCAGCTTATGACTAAAGAACCAAATGAGTGCTTTCTCCCTCTTCTTCCCATCTATGTGTAGGACGTTTTCTGCTGATGAATGTATAGCATCACATCACTGCAAGCTTTCCTCCACACAGACCGTGAGCTTGTGTGCTTTAGTTGGTTCAACATCGTAAAATAATAGAGAATAGTGAAAGAGACTCCAAGACCCTTAATGTAAAAGTTTAATGCTTCTCTTCTGATCTAATGGACTTCCCAGAAGTTCAGTGCCATTGTACTTTGGCAGATACTCCTGTGTTGCATGATTTTCAATCACATGAGGAGTACACACTTGTTTTGTCTGTTTGGGTTATTGTGCAGTTTATAAACTATGAGACTTATTTACACTTGGGTTAATAGGACTTACTGAGCAAGACAAGAACCCAAGTGACTTAAAATAGGAGCACTTTCCATAAGAAATGTATTGGGCCGATGGCTCATGCCTGTAATCCTAGCTACTCAAGAGGCTGAGATCTGAGGATTGCTGTTCAAAGCCAGCCCAGGCAGGAAAAGCCATGAAACTCTTATCTCCAGAAAACCGGAAGTGGCACTGTGGCTCAACTGGTAGAGTGCTAGCCTTAAGCTGAAGAGCTGAGGGACAGTGCTCGGGCCCAGCGTTCAAGCCCCATGACTGACAAAAAAAAAAGAAAAAAAGAAATGTATTGGGTTTTTTTTCCCCCTCAATACCCTGTTTATTTGTTTATTCATTTAGTCATCCGATGCTCCTGTTAGTGCTTGAACTCAGGGTCTGCACTCTCTCTTGGCTTTTTCACACAAGGCTGGTGTTCTACTATGTAAGCCAAATCTCCATTTCTAGCTTTTTGGTGATTAATTGGAGATGAGTCTCATGGGCTTTTCCTTGACTGGCTTAGAACCCTGATCCTCAGATCTCAACCTCCTGGTGTGAACCACCTGTGCCTGGCTTCAACATCCTTATAATTGTTGCTCCGAAAATGATACATTAAAGTCCTACCCTCCAGTACACAAAAGGTAAAAAAAAAAAAAAAAGAAACCACATTATTTGCAGATGTAATTAGTTCAGATGAGGACACAGGGAGTAGGCTGGGCTCTTCATCTAAGAGCAGGAGCAGAGACCCACAGAGAGCTCCAGGTGAGGCAGAGGTTCGCATTCTGCCAGCACAAATCAAGGAATACCACAGATGTCAACACACTTCAGAATCCAGAAGAGACGATTCCAGATTGCTCATCTCAGACTTACTACTTCCAGAGCTACACGACAATACCTTTCTGTTGCTTTAAGTTGCTCTGTTTGTGAACTTTGTTACAGACACCCACGAAGCTAATATAGCTCCTAAAAATTTCATCACATCATTATATTTTGAAAACAGAAAATTCTTGGTAGTCAGGCATAGTTTCTGGTGAAGATAGTTTTGCCAGTGAAGTCTTGACGCCCTGTACTATTATTGTGCTATATGCAGATGGGAATCAGACAGGCGTGACCACCTTTACACGTAGCAGCTCCTCTCACCTTATATAAGAAAGAATCGATTGTGTCACAGCTTCGTATCCCAATTTATTTCTACAAAACATGCCTCTTTGGAGACATATATTAAATACATACAAGTGCATTAAATTACTACTTTTTGAACGTTGATAAATTTCGATTAACATCTGAGGCAAAGAAAAAGAAGATGTGATTGTTGCCTTGCAAAATCTTAAAGCTTAGAGAGTAAGCAGGAGTAAAGAATATGGAAGAAATCTAGAGGAAAAAATTAACTGGTAGGCTGTGCAGTTCACACTGAGTTTAATAGAAGCTCATCGCAGGAGGGGTCTGGGTCAGGGAGAGAGCAGGGACAGCCTTGGTCTGTGATTATTGTTCATTTCTCTAGTAATTGCTGCCTGTGATAGAAGAGTCTTCAACTCTTGAGCCCCTTGCTATCAACAAAAGCAATGTATACAGCTATTAAGGCCGTGTGTAATACTGTGATTTTGAATAGCATCCCACTTACAGTTCCGTGATCGATGGTCACGTTCGGGAGAGAGATGTACAGAGATATTAACAGTAAGCATAAATGGCTAACAGGAGGAACGAGCCATTTGCTTATCTCAGTGTTTTCCTTCACACTGCGCCAGTTTCTCACGTGTGTTTGGAAGTGTCTATCTCTAAAGCAAGTAAGGATGCAATAGCTCGTGAGGCTGGACTAGCTCATCTCCTCCCTGCAGTGTCAGTCCCAGAGGTCGTGCTCAGAGAATTCCGTAGAACCTTTCTGAAATGCTCATGCCAACCTCCACCCCATTCAACTTTATCCAATTCTAATTGGGAAGGAAAGAGAGAGAGAACCCTTGGTGAACAGTTTCAAGTGGTCTAGATTTGACAGAGGTGTTACTGATAAACTCTGTCCCCTCTTTAAGACCATGGGCCCCAGAGAAGCCGTGTCTCCGCTGGCCTGAGACTTAGAAAAGCTCACTGGAGTGACAGAGAGTGATATCTTGGGCAGCACTGTCTTCCTTGGTTTCCCACCGAGGCCAGTCTGAGTGTGCTCCTTGAGAGCAGGTAGGGTCTCCAGAGAGGAGAGAAACAGCCTTGCCTGGAACATACACTTCTGGAGGATCTCAAGCATCTGTTCTGCGGTCCAGTTAAAAGGACAGTGAACAGGTTCTTTGGCTCCTGAACCACACTCCTGACAGACAAGATGAAATCATTGCCCAGTGAACAGGGAGCAAAGTGTGTTCACGCCTGCCTCTAAGCCCTCCAACTTCCCCTTTGGGTTAGGAGCAGCCAATTCGCAATTTAACTGGGCACACTTCACTCAAGTTTCTGTGTGGTTTGAATAACCAGAAGCTATGACGGTACACATCAGGCACGGGGAAAGCCTGAGCATAGTGTATGCAAGGTCTTCAGTTCACTTCCCAACACCCCCAAAAAACCCCAAAACCTAAAAACCAGTTTTCATCAAAGTTACTGGGAGATAATCTTTTGGCCTTACATATTAAATTAGCATATAATAGATGAACTTGGAGGATAATCAGGCTAAGTCAGGAAAGACAGGCAGAGAAAGACAAACAATGCACCATCTCACTTATATGAGGAAGACAAAAAAGCTAAATTCCGAAATAGAGGGTGGTTACTAGGTTCTAGGCGCGGGAAAGTTGTACACTGGCTTATAGCATGAGACTCCAGTTAGTCATAGCATATTGCATAGTTAAAGTTGGTTAAAAAAATAATTCTTAAGTATTTTTACCACATACAGTAAAAGGAACTGGGGGAGATAGTTGAATAGCTTAAACTGGGATAAT